AACAGCACGTTTGTTTACTCTGCTGTTTTGAGTGGGGAGTGGTGCAGCACCTACAACAAAAGCAGAAGCCGCACTAGGTGTGTATGGGGCGGGGGCACATTCCCTCCACCCCACCAGTATGTGAGGAACATGCTGGCGGACGAAGCACAAAGCTAAGCAACTCGACTGTGTTTTTACCACAATGGGAGGAACTGCTAGGCTCCTTACTGCGCATGGACCTCCTTAAAAATAGCGTGAAATCGAAAATGCATGCAGGTGCTCCGTGACAGTCCTTTAAATTAGCTGCTCTTCCTTTTCTGAAGAGGCTGAGAAGATGCAGAACACTTCTGAAGTGTGTAGTTTAATTCACTCACAATTATATATATTACCTGCTGCAGTTTACTTGTGATGGTTAGTATAAGCTGGAGCACTCTAAGTTATTCCAACAAATGCAGATAACTTGTAACACTCCCACTGAATCGAGTGGTTCAGACAAGGAACCATATTACTAAATTACACTGATTGCCACAGATCTGTGCCTTCTTCATTCTCTACATTCAACTCTGAAATAGTCAAGAAAGAAGCGGTAAAGAAGTTGAAATTTAATCAGCAGAATGTCATTTTAAATTTCTTTAAAACTAGATTGTTTTAAAACTGAGTTAATATTAAAATAATTTTCTTCTTTTAAAGATTTTAAAATCTATTATTAAAAAAGCTTTTTGAAGGTGTATTTGGAAGATTTCTAATTTATATCTGTGAAGTTTCACATTTTTTATGGCATTGTATTTTGTCTGTCATAAAGAACCCTAATAATAGCAAATGCATACAGTAATATTTAGTTAATCTTACGTAAAAACATTTAGATGGTGAAGATTTCTCGGTTTCAGTGTTTTGACATGTAATTCTAAAATGTGGTCAATACATTTTTAAAATCTCAAAAAATATATATGTAGCTCACTCAGGTATAATGTCTTGGAAACCTCTATGTCTGGGGATATAATCACATTTGTTGAGTAGCTACAAATAGAGAGTTAACTTAATTAGCAACATATGATGATGAAACAGCATAGCTTAAAAATGAATAGTAAATATTCCATTAAGCACCAGGTCCATCGTTTAAGATATGAGTCATTCAAGAGGAAGCTGATTTTGGTTAAAATACATCTAAGAAACATTTGACCAACTTCTTGAAATCTGATTTGAAAGCTTCTAGATAGCAGGTTTCACTGTCATGCATCATTTTCAGTTCAAGTTCACCTGATATGCCATTTTATACCCTTTTTATGGTCTTTATTTGCTAATATCGTCACATGACATTTTAAATGTCTTCAGGCTTGAAAAGCTAGAAGTAGATAAGTTGAAAAATTTAGAAGAATATTTTCCTAGTGAGAAAATAGAAATCTGTTATGGCTCTGGGGAATTCATAGAGCCTTAAGCACTGTGCCAGGCCAGGCTGCGTTAATGCCACAAAGGCATTGTAAAAATATATTATTCATCTTTAGCTGTGAAAGACCAGTATTAGCAAAACAAACAAACAAACAAACAAACAAACAAAAAACCCAAAAAAATTTATTGCAAGTAAAACAAGCTTGTAGAAACCAGAATCAAACTATTTCCTAGCTTAATCCAAATTGATTAAAATAATTTCATCATCTGCCATGGATGGATCATGTAATTCATGTTTTCTTTTCTTTTTATAAAACACCTTTTAAAAAATAAACTATATATAATATGTCTTATTAAGTGCAAATTATTTTTACCTTGTTAGGTATCACATATTCTCTAACATATGTGATTATCAAACATTTTTAAGCCTAAAGAAAAACATTTAATATATATCTCTATCTACCAAAAAGAAATAGATACTTCTGAATTTCAAAAATGAATTTTTGAGTACATTTTAATTCATATCAGTTTTATAAAATATTCATATTCTTATGAGTGATACTTGGACTCTATTGTGTACCAGAAGTTTCAGACAAAAATTGTTAATATATTAGCTTTAAAAATTCTAGTTGTATGTTTGTGAAGTGAGACGTGTTTTACAGATTGTTACAATTCAAAGGGAATACCAATTGAATTCAACTACAGTGTTCATTAATTTTAACTAAAATTTCCTCAGATAAAAGTGTGTTATTCAGTCCTAAACAAAGAATCAATTTTTAAAAAATGGTTTCCCCAAATCAAACCACAGAGTTCTTAAAGTATTTTATCAGGGTAGTAAATTGGTAGTATCTACTTATCTACGGTTTTAATACCTAATACAATAACAACCTTCTATCAATATATGGCTAATTGCTAATATAAAGTATCTACTGGTAGTCCATCTCTCATAAAACTGCCTTTAGCTTTAATTCAAATCCATTGATTCCTATTCCAGTTAAAGCTGAAGAACTTAATATGTCTTTTAATCCTTTTATTGTAAGCTAGGATAAAATTAATTTTACCCTAGAACTGCACAAAGCCAATTAACATGATCTTTAGAGTTATTTAGTAAAGTGCTTCAAATTGTTAAATTTATCTTGACCTCTCGGTTGCACTCTCTGACTGCTTTTTAAATGAAGCAATCAATATCGCACAGCCCTTTTAATAGCTTAAACTTCTCAAATATTTTACCTGTGCTCCAGTTAAGCTGTAAGCAAAGTGTTTATTCCTGTTCCTGTAAATCTGGAGTCAATTATGCTAAATCTAAAGACAGCTATGCACTTTTGAGAAACCCTACAAATTAAATGTTTGTTTTAATAAAATCAAAACCTCATGTTGTGTTAAAAGTAGCCCAATTGTCAGGCAGCATCATGTTCACACAGAATTTGTTTTCTGTTTACAACTTCAGTATAAGACATTTATGTCCCTCACCATCCAGGTCCTTCTATTTTTCTGCACAGGCTAGTTGAAGGTATTAATTTTCTTACTGTGATAGGGTGATCAACCGTCCTGTCAAGAAAATGGATCTCTATGTCACCCTTTAGCATGATTAAATGGAGCCATGTCTCGTGAAAAGAAAAAAAAAAAATACAGATTTTCATGAAACTGTAGGAAGGTTTACTTCTAAAGAATTATTTTATTTTTAACAACTCCAACTCTCTCTTTTGCTTGGCAGTTTCATTTATAGGAACCACTGCAGCTAATTAACATATTATTTCTTTTTAAATGCAGGCCAGACCAATAAAGAAAAGACACTTCCAAACCTGAGAAAGTGAATGACGGCTTACTGTTATTGTTAGCCCAGTACCTGGGCTGCATCTGGCACCTTGTGCCATCACTGCTCAGTTAATGTCTGTTAGTAGCTCTTCCTTTCCTATTTCCTTGTTCACAAAGAGCTGTCTCTTTCCATATGAGTGATTATAAAAATTAAATACTGAATTTCAGCACCAGTAGTATTAATAGCTCATTCGGCAGTATTACTATGAATCCAGGCACATGCCAAACTTTAAATTACACCAAGTGATGTAATTAGGATTTCATATTTTGGCACTTAGCAGAGGGCACCTGTTACAATACTTACTATTAGTTTAGGGATAAAATGTATAAATGGCTGATAGAAGTTACCAAATTAAACTAGTGTAAAGTCTTAATTTTTTCCCTCCGAGTGGGAGTTAAGACAAGATTGAGGTAATTAACGAAGGAACATAGAGAAGGTGGGGGGTGGGGCAGGGTGAGAGAGGAACTCTCCAAGTGCCTCTTGTTTAATTTCCTACTGGAAGCTGACCATGTGTACTGCTGTGCCCCTCCCCCTCTAGCTGGCATTGCAGAGGCTGAGCTGCTGGGGTCAATGCCTTGCCTATTGATCAGTATCCCTGCAGTCCCTTGCTCTAGCAGCTGCTTCATCGGCTTCTTTCAGGGCCTGCTTCAGTACATTAGAATAGAAATCCATAACCAGAGCTGTGCTCATCCAAGCAGGGGAAGAAACTAAATTAAATGGTATAAAACAATCTTGGATCAGGAGTTTGTGCCAATTCATCTTGATCTAAGATGTCACACCGGGCTCTCTGTCTGAGCACCTGGGCTAGAGGCAGCCATAGTGAAAATAGATGGAGCTGCGATCATTCATTTGTCAGCTAAGGAGCAAGGCAGCAGTTAGCAATTCCCTTCTGCAGAGGTCAGCTGACAGAACAATCAGTGCAACTGCAGAATAGAGCTTTCCTTTGAACTATTGTTGTGGAGCATGCTCCTGCTGAGACGTGGGGGAGGGGAGCGGGTTGCTTCCTATTTCCAGAACCCTGTGTAAAGAGTGAAACATACAGTGCTATAGAAGATGATTCTCCATGTAGTTGCACTGTGCTCTACTCCCTGTGTCTGTTAAGTACGTAAATAAGGTTAGTTTTCAATGAATGCACAAAGATCTGTGTTATTAAGCTGTTAAATATGACTTTGTCTAAAATCAAGGCCCTTTTAAACACAGAGGAAGTGACTATTGATGTTTTTTTCTCCTTAGTGTCCCAAAACGTTTATATTCTTTCTTCCTATGTTAGTACTTGTTAATCTTTTTAATAAATATTTCTTTTGTCTTCAAATTTTTCTGTAAAGTGAAAAAATGTATGTTATAGTACAGATTAGATTTTTTTTTTTAGTATAAAATATTTTTTAAACATCCAAGACTACAGTTTTATATGAGATATAAGAAATGAGATGTGGTTTTTCATGGCCTTAGAAGTTACTAAGTTTTTGTAACTTCAGGGGAGCCTCATGATAAAAATAGCCAACATGATCCGAAATGAAAACATAAGATTGCACATGGTATTTAAAGGGGGGTATAGTTAACATTTTATAGGGAATTAGTATATTTTAAGGAATAAACCAGTGAAGATTTGGGGCTTTCTGTGCTGAACTTGAGAGCTATTAACAAGGTGTTTCAGTCTCTTTGATTCAGTGGCATACTCTTGCCCCACCCTGGTGTCCCAGTGCTGTTTGCTGAAAATAACTATTCTTTCTGAAGTACATCAACTAGAAGGTTCTTCCAAGTGCACATACTTTTTGTACTGATAGTCTTTTAATTTGGACACCCATTTTTTGGTTTTCAGGTTGCTTATCCAGTGTACCACAAATGAAAAAAATGTCCACGTCCTATGAAGAAAGAAGGAAGCAGGCCACGGCCATTGTTCTCCTGGGAGTGATAGGAGCAGAATTTGGAGCTGAAATTGAACCACCAAAACTGTTGAGTAGACCTCGAAGCTCTAGTCAAATTCCTGAAGGATTTGGATTGACAAGTGGAGGCTCCAACTACTCACTGGCCAGACATACTTGTAAGTGCTCAGATTTCTGATCCTGATCAGCTTGATTTTTAAGACATATTCTTTGTCAACAGGATGTCAGAGCATCGACTATACATGTATCCTGAAGTTTTAGCTTATCTGTTTACTAAATGAAGTTAGGAAACAGTACCACCTTTTGGGCCTATTGCTCTTTAGTTATATTGCTCAAATTTCATTTTAAAGTTAAAGCTTCGTGCTTTCAGCGCTTCTCTACAAGAACACATCCCTGAGATTTGTGTTCTTGAATTTTTGATCAAGACTCTTCTCCTCAGTTTATGAAAGTGCACGCACGTATGTGCGTGCTCTCCTACCCACCTGCGCATGCACACATACCGCACGCAGCACTCACTTCAAAGGGAATAGTTAAGAGACAGATTTTCTGGAGCCAAAGAACGTGGCCCAGAGAATGTGGAGCGAGGTTACCTTGGGTCTCATGTTCTGTTAGTATCAGAAAGAAGAAGGCCATAAATCAAGGCAATTTAAAAATACTTTGGTAGCCACATCAGCAATGCAGTTACAGTCTTCAGAAGCTAGCTGATGAAATTCTTAGCGTTTGAGTTGATGGAAGCTAGAGGTCTGCCGACTTATAGATTGCAAAGGTTTTTATCTCTTAGTCACATGTGTTAGTTCTGACACTGGCAAGGAATGGCTGTTTAGGGAGCTAAAACTAGTCCAGAATAAGATAATTAGCCTCTGGATTTGCAACATTCTAACCTCTAGATGCCAGGGAAGTTCTAATTAGTCAGTCAGTATTTTCAGACCTAACTTTTTTTCCCCAGGCATCCTCACTTACAAAGGCTAGTTTCAATTAAAAATTTCTAAAACACTATGTCACTTCATAGTATGCATTGAATAGGACTTGAAAAGTTGGAGATAGGATGGAACATAGAATAGAAAAAGCATTGAATGACCTCTTTAATTTAAAAATAAATTTCCAGTAACAGTTTTAAAATGATTCAACTATTGCAATTACTCTCACAGGTCTTGCCTGTACAGTTGCCTGTAATTCTGTGAGTGCTGTGTGTCTCAGGTGCAATGGGTCTCAGGTGTTTTGTAATGGGGCCTTTTGGTGTTTAAACTCCTTCAGGTGAGACCAGAATATTCTTACCATGTCAAAAAAGCATTTCTGATGAGTTGGGGCATTTTTTTTTATTAATTTTATTTTTGGAGCTATGTAATTCTGGTTGGCCCGGAACTTAAAAGGATCTGCCTGCTTACTCCCTTGGAGTGCTGGGACTAAAGGGTTCCTTCCATACCAGCTCCTCCTGAATTGTGACATCATTAAGGGCAATGTAGAATCCTACTGATCAAATCAGGAGATGTTCTCCTTTAAAAAGATTTATTTTAAAATGTCGATTTTTATTTCAAGTGTGTGTGTGTGTTCTGGGCAGAGAATGTGCACCTGTGTATACAGGGGAGCGAGTGCCTGTGGAGGCCAGAGGCATCAGATAGGGCTGGAGCTGAAATTGCATATGGTTGTGAGTCACTTGGTGTCCATACTGGGACCAAACTTAGTTTCTCTGGTAGAGCAGCAAGCATTCTTCACACTGAGCCATCTCTCCAGCCCTATATTTATTTTTTAATTCATGTGTGTATGCATGTGTGTGCAAGTGTGTATATACATGTGTGTGAGGAATTCTGGGGAAACCTGAAAGGGTGTTGGATACTCAGGAGCAGTGTGGAGGTCCTGATGTAGATGCCTGAAACCAAACTCAGTTCCTCTGATGGTGCAACAAGTGCTCTTAACTACTGAACCATCTCCCCAGCCGCCAAAAGATGCTCCTGTGGAATAAAACACTGTGCGATTTGACCTTCATGCAGAGGAAGAAGATGTATGGTGCTCTGTTAGTCATCAGTTGAGAACTTCATGGGCCTTTGTTTCATACTTTTGTGTACAACTGAAGAACCACATTTATTTTGTTTAAAGACTGGTCTGCAGATTATCTGTCCTTGATACCTTTTCTTCAAGATTTCTAACTCAACAAAGACTTCTTGCTGATCATCTCTTGATTCCTACTGACACTGAGGTTAGAGAGAGCTCATACCACCACCACTAAAACAATTAATGGCACTTTCTTTCTAAGTTTTTTATGTTAATTTGTTATAATAAATCTTGTAACTTAGTTTTCTGTCTATATTTCACAAAGCTTGGGCATGCAGGCAGGCTTTGTTAGCCTTGTAAAATCATACCTTCAACAAATAGTATTTGTTATTTCAACATTGTTTATTATTTCTGGAGCTCATGTTTTGGCCATTCTGTGGTCTCAGTAAAAGAGGGCTGAATGATGAATATGCACCATAAATTGTATCATTTAAGAAAAAGAAATGCTCTTTTTTTCTTTTCTGTTTCCCTCCTTAGATCTTCGAAATAGATTTAAGACTTCTCCATAGTGGCTCAGGCAGAAAGTAGCGAGAATTGTGCCTGATTTAAACTTCTTGTTAACTAAAAATCATGCCTCTTCTGCTCTCCTCCTAGATATTGTGTGGAGAACTGTGTTACCTCTCTACAGTGTACTCCATACTCCCCGCTTCTCAGTTACAGCCCACTTACCTTTCCTGTGTTCCTAAAGGGCCCTGCTTTCCATTCTTAAATCCCTGAGAAGACCTGGTGTCTCCTGTCTGTGCCACTCCAGATGGCCCAGGATTTAGATACATGCTTCCTAACTTGAAATTTTGTAGTTTGGATATTAGAGGTTAGGAGTTTTACATGGACTGATCAATTGGTTTACAAAACAGTTTACTCTTAATCTCCTCACCAAGTAAAACATGTTTTAGCCTTTCCATATTTTTTGTTACTAGTATACATTTAAACTTTTTCAAAAGTTATCATCTTGAGTATTTCTGAATTTAAACACTATGTTATTTCAGTATATTGAGTACAATGTTTAAAAGTACATGAACACAGGCTGGAAAGATGGCTCAGCAGTAAGGTCACTTCTTCACTTCCAAGAGGAATAGATTTCAGCTCCTGAGACCTGCGTCAGGCACCTTACAACCACTTGTAACTCCAGCTCCAGGATACCCATGTGCCTATCTTCTGGTTTCTAAGGGCACATTCATGTATGTGCGTGCAACACACAGACACACAAACAAGCAGATATATATATATATTTTTAATGTAAATATATATATATATATATATTTAATGTAAAAAAACCTTTCTCTTAAAAGTCAGTTATATTTTATTATTTTTCCTGAATGGTAAAAATTTTTACACTCAGAGATTTTAAAGAAGGAGATCATTGGTAAATTTAGTGTCTATAAATGATGATGATTATTTTTTAAACTGTTTAAAAAATATATACTGAGACTCATCGCCAAACTTGGGCAGAGTGCTGGAATCCTTATGGAAGAAGAGGGAAATAGAAAGACCTGGAGAGGACAGTAGTTCTACAAGGAGAACAACAGAGCCAAAATACCTGGGCCCAGGGGTTCCTGCAGAGACCTATACTCCAACTAAGGACCATGCATGGAGAGGACCTAGACCCCCTGTCCAAAGGAAGCCCATTGACTGCTCAGTTTCTAAGTGGGCTCAGTTTCTAAAGGGGTACAGGGGCTATCTCTGACATGAACTCCAGTGGCAGGTTCTCTGATCACCTCCCCCTGGGGGGTGCAGCCTTGCCTGACCAGAGAGGAAGGTGATGCAACCAGCCTACATGAGACCTGATAAGCTAGAGTCAGATTGAAGGGGAGGAGGACCTCCCCTATCAGGGGACTAGGGAAAGGGCATAAGGAGAGAAGAGGGAGGGTAGGTGGGACTGGGAGGAGATGAGGGAGGAGGCTGCAGTAGGGATACAAAGTGAATAAATTGTGATAAATAAATATATAATAAAATTAAATTATTTAACAAAAGTATTTATAGTGGGCTGGCTGAGACAAGAAGTTCTTGAGTTCAAGGCCATCTTCACTATATAGACATTTGTATATAGCCTTGGCTGTGCACAGACAACCTCTCTCAAAACACCAAAAAAAAAAAAATATATATATATGGGATATATACAAGATATATATATAGATATAGATATCCCTTGTATAACTTGTATAACTTTTGCTTGGTATTTCTTAATATTCTGTCATTTGAGATTGGCTACATTCTTTGAAGAGACTAATTCTGTCCAACATATTTTATAATTTCCTATAAAATAATTTATAATTTCCTATAAGATAATTTATAATTTCCTATAAAATAATTTATAATTTCTTATAATCTTTTGTATTGACCATTTCCCACAACCTAAATGTTTACCTAAATATTGAAACACCGCAAACCAGTAGATTGCTGATTGGTTTCAGCCAACCCATTGGTTAGTTGCTCCATGAATTTATGTATATCTCAGTATTAGAATTTCTAGAGTACTATCTAGTGTCACTTTTTTACCCATGACTTGTCTATACAAAATTCTGAAATTCATGCATGTGCTTCCATATATCTGATTTTAAATGTAATAAATCCATTTGCAACTATAAAACCATAACAAGAAAAAAAAGGAAAAGGTTAGGGGAAGAAGAGATCTCAGAAACTTGTGGCAAAATAGAAATAGAGATTTTCTTTTTCCAAAGACGTTTTGGAGATTTAATAAGGAATTTTAAAGGATGTTTGTATTAGTGAGGGTTCTTTAAAGGAACAGAGTGAAAGAAGAAAGAGAGAGAGAGGAAGGAAGGAAGGAAGGAAGGAAGGAAGGAAGGAAGGAAGGAAGGAAGGAAGGAAGGAAG